AAAATCTCATAATTCTGGTGCCAGAGGCTGCCACCCTGGAGTTCTAACTGGGAGGCCTTCATGGGGGACACCAAAGTGGGTCTCTACATTGTGAATCTGTTCTCCCCTCCTTCTGCCCCCCTCTATTGACAGCTGGGTTTCTAGGTTGGGGCTAAAAAAAGCTACTTAAACTTTGCTTTAGATAAAGTTAGTCAAATTGAAAGCAACTGCCAGGAGTGTGCACTCAAAGGTGCACTCTGGGCATCCAAAATTAAGACAAAATTCAAAATACATCACTTCCTAATTGCTGTTATGTCTAGTCACTCTGGTTTTGCTTTATGAACTTCAGAGTGATGAATAGCATCTTTTGTTTCCAGTGATCTTTGCTTTATGGAAGGGTGGGGTCACCTTTTATCAAGCAACACAATGGGACTGTAAAGTACTGCCCAGGCAAGTCAGACGGAATGTCCTCTGCACCTGCAAACTTCTTAGGCTGGCCTGGAGAGCATTTCCATACAGCTCAGCAAAAGCACTGCTAACCTTGGCAAGAGGCCAGCACGCACTGTCAGAACAATTCCACATGTTGCTGGCTTCTTCCATTTCCTAAACCAGAAGTCAACACACACACACACACACACACACACACACACACACACACACACAACAAAATTCAATGCTAAAGAAATTTAAAAATAAAAAATAAGGAGTTTTCTTTTTTTCTTCCCTCCTCTTAAAGGGAAATCAGGGATAGGTCTTTTGGGTGCTAAGCTTGGGCACTTAACCAGACAGTAGTGAAGGGACCTTTGGAGACTAGTTTCGGTATGGAGACATCACACTCCCCTCTGGTGTGCACAGCTGGCTAATTCTGAAAATACATCCAGCTGTTATGGAGAGAGTGGCAAGAGCAGGATACAGCCCTCTGACAATTCCTGGGTGTGTGTTTCTGCGATGCTTTGTGGCAAGAATAAAAGCAAAACATTGCAGCAATGAAGCAAGAGTTCGTTTGTCAGGGCAACAGTACCTTTCACATTTTACACAGTTATTCACATAGAAAGGAAAACAGCCAAGTCTGTCCAGAATAAGAATGTACTAGTCGGGCTGGGGTTGTGGCTCAGTGGTAGAGCGCTTACCTAGCATGTGTGAGACACTGGGTTCGATCCTCAGCATCACATATAAATAAATGAATAAAATAAAGGATCATCAACAACTAAAAAATATATATTTAAAAAAAGAAAAGAAGAATGTACTAGTGGCTGGCCTTCCACTGAATTCAGTTGTTGATTTTCAATCCATTTTCCTAAAGAGCTCTGAGACAACATACATACTGTCATATTAAGTACTCATTTCAGCTTCTGATTTTAATCTTATAAATGTAGTTCAATGAAGTAGGATGAAAAACACCTTATAGCTTTCACCCAGGGGCTTGAACAGAAAACTGAAATGATGTCTGGGTTCAGAAACCCAGGACCTGAAAGCAAGAAACTGTCATTTTTAAATAGAGCATTTTGCAAGGTAAAGAGAGACAGAGCAACAATATCTCAAATGCCAGAGTGGCCTTGGGATGCAAATCCCCGTGTTCCTCCTCTCTCACAACAAATCACGATGCCAAAGATGGCTCATTAATAATCACATGGGAGGCTGTGGGGAAAGAGCACTGTTAAGTGCTCATTGTCTGAGATGGTACCACAGTGAGCAACGATTGCAAATTACCCTTCTGTTTAAATACTTCATGAATCAACTTATATATAATTACATACCTTCCTAAGGGCCATCAATTAATGAGAAAAATATCCTCAAACTCATTTTGCTGCTTGTTGTTATGAACTTGTTATTAACACCAGGAAGTCACTTAATCCAGTAGGTGAGTCTCTAACCAGAACTGGCCACTATCTTAGTACCAGGAGAGAGTACAGCCCCTTTCCCCTCACAACAGCCCCAGGCCGCACCAATCACACAAGAGGGCGAAAACAACCTACAGAGAACTTACACCCTGAACACTCAACCAAAATGATTTTTAAAAAGTGGATCTGGAGGACATTAATGCCAAGAGAAATAAGCCAGACAAATACTGCGTAATTTCACTTATATGTGGAATCTAAAAAAGTCAATCGCATAGGAACAGAGAGAAGACAGGTGGTTACAGGAGAATGGAGGCTAGGGTGGAGGGGAGAAGGAAAGGGAAGATGTTTGATCTAAGAATACAGGGTCCCATGTGCACTGGAGGAATAAGCTTTAGTGTCCAAATGCACTGCATAGTGACCACAGTTAATAATAATGTTCTGTACAACCACAAGAATGGAATCCTAATTAGAATAAGTTATACTCCATGTATGTATAATATGTCCAAATACACTCTGCTGTCATGCATATCTAAAAAGAAATAAAAAATAATAATAATGTTCTGTATATTTCAAAATGTCTAAAAGAATAGATTTTTGAAAACATTTTTAAACCTCAAAAAAAAAGAGAGAATAAGTGGTTGAAGTAACCGATGTGTTAATTAGCTTTTATGAATCTTTCTACAATACATGTATAAATCAAAACATTATCCTGTATCCCATAAATACATGCAAGTATTATCTGTCAACTAAAAATAAATGTAATAGTAAGGTTTTAAAAAGTAAAGAAAACCCTGATACAACTCTGGCTTTGTTTTGGCATATCATCTGAGGCTGACCTCACCTCATAAATAAAGGAGGACTTCCCCAAACACCAACCATTTCACTCAAAATAAGCTGAATATTAAGAAAATGTGCCTGGAGTTGGGCAAACATCTTCCTGTTTCTAAAGGGCTCAAGGGGCAGCATGCACCTTTCAGGGAATCTTGCTGAGAAAGGCAAGCAGTGCAGAACCAGGGGGTGGGGAGACGCAGCCACAGGGGCAGAAGGAGGTAAAGGGTGGGACATCAAATGAAGGGGTCCAGGAGGGAGGAAAGCTGGGCTTCTGGTGGGCAAGTGGCTTTACTCACGGGGCCTGAGCTTCTTCCCTGGGAAGCAAGAAAAATGTTTAGTCTCCGGGATCCCTCTGGGCTCAAACCCTACTGTGGGACTTACTGCCTCCATCCCAGTGTCAAGTCTGGGTGCTGGCACTGGGGGAAAGGCCAGTGTCATGAGCTGTGTGTGGACTATGTTGCACATCGTAGCCTACCGAGGGGATAAGTGTGGCACTGGGAACATCCCGTGGGACCCCCACAGGGATTGATCGTTTGATGCAGGTGAACTTTCCCCTCAAGCTCTGCTATGTCCCACACAGCACCTGAGATGGGTTTGACCTGACAAGATGTCAACCAATCTGCTGACTGTAAGACATCATGAAGCAAGACTCCGCCCATGATGTACACCCTGCCTTTGATGTAGCCCCTTAAATAAACCACCGAGCCATCTTTTTGCTGCCTAGTTCCAGGGCCCACCCATGTAGACTAGATCTATCAGGGGCTTCACTCTTGTAAATATACTTCTAAATATCTGTGTTTCGTCATTCACTAGTCATTTGAGACTTCAAGTTTTAGGGTGGCTTACATTCTCCTGGGCAGGAAGAAGACCCAAATGAGACTCTGGCCATCACCCATGTTAGGCCAGGCTTTCTGTTTGCCTCACACTGCATCTGTCAAAGACCTCAATGTTTAAGGCAGTCTCGGCATATGCAAGTCTACTCCCCAAACCCCAAAACCAAGGGGAACAAGGAGATGTTATTTATACCCTGTGTGGCCTCCTGTCACTGTCAAACTGAGTATCTAGAAATGAAGGTGCCCAGGCAGGAAGTTGGCTTTTAAAGCTGTGTTTGATCTCTCTGGTTCTTATTAAACATCAGGAGCCCTGTTGGAACAAAGTTAAATGGACCAAAAGGTACCCAAGGGCCACAAAGCCCCAGCTCCGAATTCTAGGAAAAAGTCACATTGACTACTGGCCTCTACTCTTGCATGAGGTCCCCACCACCCATTCACCACAGCATCCCGGACACTGCTAAGATGAGTTCATGGCTTGTCACCTCCTCCCTAAAATCCTCCAAGGGAGGGTGTTTCCATTATGTGAGTATGTAAAACACCTGGGCACTTCACGTTCTGGGTCATACTTCAAATTAAAAAAAAAAGAAGAAGTTTTAGAAAACATCCTCCAGCAAATTTAAGATAAACCCCAACCTCCTTCCCTGGAGCATCCAAAGGCCCCCTTGACACCTCCCGCCCCCCTCTGAGGGGACACAACTGTGCTCCCTACACTATGTCACACTTGCTTCTTTCTGTTCCCCCAGACACTGAGGGCATCCTGCCTGCCCCATGTCCCATGCTGTTCTTCACACCAGTCTGCAGGGAAACATCACTCCTGGGACCTCCCAATCTAAATCTGACTCAAGGCTATTCTCTCCCATCTCTTTGTTCTCTTCCTATGAGGTTATATACTACAAATGGGAATGCAGTCGCTACCTGTGGATTTACTTGCTTACTATTTGTGTCCCTCCATGAAAACAGGAATCGGGCCTGCCTTGTCCCCCCATCCACTTCCTGCTAAGAGCACTGAGTCTGGTGTGTGCTCAGAAGTACCTACAAAAATCACACGGTGCATCTTTGGCAACAGGTCTCTGTGCCTCAGTTTCTTCACCTGTAAAATGAGCACCACCTTGGAGGCAAGCAAGCCAAGGAGCAGCTGCTGAGAGAAGGCGCAAGGGCCATCTTCCCCTTCCTTGTTTCCCAAATTTAAAAAAAAAAAAAAAAAAAATCAGACTCATCCATGTGACTAAATAGTGAAAGAGTAAGAACCAGTCACCATCAGCCATGGGAGAAGAAGCATTTTCCTAGAAGTCGCTCAGGGCCTTCTTTTCTGGGGCAGACCCATCTAAGTTCCTTTATTTCATCCTTAAAGGCCTTTGCTTTTCAGCCCTGAAATCTGGGGAATGGAAGTTGGATTCTGAGATGGTTCCAAGACCTCCTCCTACTGATGATGTTATTTCAAGATCACTGGTTTACAAATTTTAGACCTCAGAGGGCTGCTTGTGCGTATAAAAAATAAGATGTCAAAACAGTTTACCTATGATGTTCACCGTACTATCCACTTCATTTTTTATAGCTGAAGTCAGGACCGCGAGCTCAGGAGAAAGATCACTTACTCCATTACTAAGCCCCAAAGATGACTCAACTGGTTCTTGCTAGGAAGAAGAAAAGAAAAAAGAATTGAGAACACTTCCTTCCCCCTCCCTTTTCTTAGCTTAAACTCTACCCTCTGTCTAAGTTCTTTAATGCTAGAATCATTTGTGTTCATCTACCGGATGCATCCCCTACCTCTTTCAATTAACCTCGAGTTAAAGCAGATCGTTTCTGCACACGGCATGCTGCTGGGTATTTGGTTTCTTTCATTTTCATTCAAGGAAATGGTACCAGCACATCTGGTTTGCCTTTAGGAAATGCTTACAGCTGTGGACAAATGGCTCTGGGGTTCAGTAGAGATGTAGAACTGTCCGTGTGAAGTACCACAGGACAGAGATTCCAAGTCCTCCTCCTTGGCGGGATGTGCTCCAAAGAGGCAACTCCTTGGCTTTCTCTTTTAGAGAGGAGTCAACCCACCACTTTTATAATAATTTCTTAGGAAAGGCTCTACCTCAACAATTGGCGCAAGAACAGGGACTCAGCACAAGCTGTGAGTGAATTCTCCTTGGACATGGTTAGCGGTGGACTGCAGCTACGTGAGCATCCCATACTGGGTGGTGGCTGGCAATTTGTGCTACAGTCACATCAGAAGCCTCTGTTTCTTTGGCCCAAGTCCAGTTAGGCAACCCCATACCCATGGATTCACATAAATGTCCTTTGAGTGCCTGAGTATCCCATCCAACACATGCATATTAATGAAATAAGAACAAATTCTTTTGCTTATCGTACTTTCTGAATTTCAACTTTCTTCAAGTGCATTCAAGCCCTCCATTCCCTGAGAGTACTGATCAACTCCAAGAAAGCTAGTCCTGAGGTAAGCAGTTTGATGAGAGTATTTCCTCAAGGTAAGATTGCATTTGCTTTGATGATAACAATAAAAATCAGACAAAAGCCACACGGGATGATTCCTGAGGAATCCAAAATGGAAGAGAGGGCAGCAGAGGAAGGAGCACAAGACTGGGCACAGAGGAGCACAGAGGTAGAGATAGAACTGTGCTTTGGAAGCTCAAGAGCAGTCACAACCTAAGGCATGCTGGGTGTTCTTATCATTACCATTATGGTCTACTTATATCCTACTTGGAATCAATGCTAACCCCCTCCCAAAATCTTAGAGCAATCACAGAGGAAGGGAGATAGTCTCCTTCTTCATGATCCCATGATCCAATGTTAAGGTATTATTTCACTGTGCAATTGGGTTAAAATTAAAAGAAAAGAAGAGGAAAAAAGAGAGAGAAGACAGGAAGAAAGAAAAAGAAATCATACGCTGCAAGACATACTAAAGGTCAAACATAAATAAAGGAAGATCCCAGAACAGCACTCCTGGACAGATTTTTTTTTTTTCTTCCCTGTTTCCTCCAACATCTCTTTTATAAGTTTCAAATAAGAAGCCTGACATTCCTGGGAAAATACTTCACTTTCTGTGACCTGAGTCACAATTTTTTTCCCCTCCTTTCTAAAGCCAAACCACTGAATTAATGTCTGCCTTTCCTAACTCTGTCTCCTCCCCGTCCCACGCACACTGTCAGTAGGTACCTATGGTCTCGCTTCCACCCCATGTGCAGAATCCAGCTCCCAGAGGTTGGTAAGGTCATGGGTTTTAGAATCAGACAAACCAGGGGACAAAGACGGACTCCTCCACTTTTCACTGGTTGCAGGACTTTATTTAACCCCGTTAAGCCTTTCTTAGGGCACTCGGATAGTTGTAAACTGAAATCCATGGAAACAAGATCCATGTCACAGGGCTGGTGTGAGGATTAAATGAGACAAATAAGTACCAGACTTACTATTAAGTAAATTCCTCACCACAATCAAAGGTTACTGAAGAATCTTGGTTCTCCCAAACCCAGTGGCCCTCTCCCACTTCTCTTTCCCTAGATCCATATTCTTATACCTAGTAGGGAGTTCTGTACTAAACTCCCTTGACAGACTGAATTAAATTGGATACTGCTTCATTCCCTTCATTCCAATAGTACCTTCCTTTTTTCTTAAAAAAAAAAAAAAAAATTATTTGCTGATGGACACAATACCTTTATTTTATTTTTATGTGGTGCCGAGGATCAAACCCAGTGCCTCACATGTGGTAGGCAAGCGCTCTACCACTGAGCCACAACTCCAGACTTTCCTTTCTTGATGGCATCCTCTATGGTCCCCTTTGAGTCTCTCCCTCCCCAATCATCCCTTGCACTTCATTATTCCACTTCCATCTCCTCAGTTGCCTCCAAAGGAACTCAGTGTAGGGATTTGAGGAAATTGTGCAAAGAACTGCTTTTTTTTTTTTTTTAGAAGTTTCTTTTGTTATTTTGGAATTTTAAAAACTCATTCTGTTTCTAAATTTCTTACCAAAGTAACAAGGCAGTCAGACTTGCATATATTCACAAACCTAAATTATTCGGACTTCTTAATCAAAAATCTCTGTGCTTCATATGATCTACAGTTTATTTAGTGGCAAGTGATACTTTTTTCACTTTCCACTTGAGAAAATCATTACTCAGAGACTAAATTAACTCTGCAAGATCACACTCCTTTTAGTCTGAGGAGATACAGAAACTGAATTCAGTCTTTCATGCACAATGGTTCAATCCCAGGATCTTTCTGTCTTAATAAACCCCTGTATCCTAGACTCATTCCAATGGAGATTGAGAGAGAATTATTTGGACCTTGTTTTACACCACCATCCCTACCTGTTCTGCAATGGAGCAATACATTTTACCAATGGAGATGAGAAACTATTTTGAATTTTGTTTTACTCCTCCCACCTCCATCCCCCACCAAAAAAAAAAAAATCCTGGCAATTTCAGTCTTCAGTGGGAACCATCTCATTAATATTGTCACTGTGGAAGGACAAGATGGTAAGCTGTACAATAAAATGGAAAGGACTCCACCCAGAACAATAGGCCCATGGGAAAAGGGTCTTCACTAAACTCAGTCAAAATGATGAAATGATTAGAAGTAAGTACATCTAAACCTACAATATATTAAATAACTCAAGGATTCAAGCTGAGAAAAGAAGCGGAAAGTTCTTTATGTACCATGTGCCTAGACATAGTGCAGGTCTAGCAGGTCCTTTCTGATGCCTCACTCCTGACCAGACTCAACCAGGCCTCACACTGCACCATAACCTAGCATGGCTCATATTAACAGATTCCTCTCAGTTCTCTTTTTCATATTAGATAAAGACTCTCCTGTAAATCAAGTAGCCTGTAGCATTCTTGGTTTTTGATCCTCTTGCCTTGCTCCAAAGAAAACCATAAAAGTTCATGCATTAACTCTGCCAAATATTTAGGTTTAAGAGTATTTTCTAGAATTACAGAACCTAAGGTTTGGTCTACAGTTTAAGAGATTTTAAGCAAAAACAAACTAGCAACAGAGAGTTTAAAGGTAGGAGCAGCTATCTTTAGACCTGTAAATAATCCACATTTGGATTATTTACAGTTAGGCTTGCTGGATGGACTTGGAGTGATCCTAAGTTAGAGGAGTAGAGGGCCTCTACTGGGCCAAGGTTCGAATCCCTCTGCTCCAAGCCCATTCTGTCTCATACGTGTCAAAAGTTCCTTTTCTTGACCTCCCTTCCCCTCAAGTAACAGCCATAAGGTGAATTTCCACCATTCCATACCCCAAAATGCCCTAATTCATCTGTGCAAAGCTAGTCTCCTTTAAACCAATTTAAGGACATCAAATATAAGGGTATCTCTAGGTCTATCAGGTAACAAAAATTTCAGGCTGGCAGCTGAGCTCCACAGAGTGGGTTAGGGAATTGGACCTAGAAGGGTGCACACATCATATCACAGCAGCCACAGTCCACAAAGAATAGCTCTAGTACAAAACAGCCTGCAACCTCTTGCCTAGTCCCAGAAATACGTTCCCTTTCTAGAACGAGGTCATCTTCACTCTCTCCCTTTCCTTCACTGCAGCTTCCCTTTTGACTTCTCTTCCTCTCTCTCCCTTCTTCCTGGGGTCTGTCTGCATCTCACAGAGCTGTTGTCTTGGAGAAGGCATCTGTCTAATGTCATTCTGGAGCAAATGACCATCCACTTATATCTCCCAACACGTACCAGAGTTCTATGCCTGTGACCCAATCTGCTAAAGAACATTTGCTTTACAGGGCTCTCTGCCATTTGGCACTCAAAATTAAACCTGCCCTCTTTTCCATAATGAGCACCCTTCCCAGCATCCTTTCTCTGGGCCTCCTCTTTAATTACTCCTGTTTTTATCTTCTGAACCTCCTTCCATGCTCTGGAGAAATGTCTCCTCTGCTCCATTCTTGTGGCTGCCATCTTTGTCTGTATTTGCTATGATGGTATCTCCTCCCCACCATCCCTTCTGATCACCTCAAGAAAGACCTGCCTTAAATACCAACTCTAAAGGGCTGGGGATATAGCTCAGTCAGTAGAGTGGTAGAGTGCCTGCCTTGCATGCACAAGCCCTTGGGTTCAATCCCCAGAACCAAAAAAAAAAAAAAAAAAAAAAAAACGAAACAAACAAACAACAACAACAACAAAAAAACATAAATACCAACTCTATCATGCTCCAAAAATCTGCTCTAAGGATTTCAACTGTAACTTATTTCACAAAAATCACCCATACATGCTCTAAGTAGTCCCCTTAAAAGCCACCTATAGAGGAAGGAAGCAATCAGAGTAGGTGGGATAAGCCTGATTGATACCTGTTTCACCCAAGGTAGGATTTTATGTGCTTTTCAAGTGGGTCTCTCGTGTTTTCATCTGATTAAGCTTAAAAACTGAAAGACCTCTTCCAATTTGTGAAGGGACTATTGTAGCAACAGCTAAAACAGGTGGTCACCTGGCCTGTCCCTGAATGACTGAGAGCTCATGTCACTCATGTAGCTGTTAGAGCCATCAGCTCTGTTGGAAAGTTCTGTGGACTGGAATCTGCTGTGTTTTGCAAGTTCTGCCCATGGGTCTGTGTTGAGCACTCACACAAGCCTGTCCTACTCTTCACCAGTGGCTTTAGGCCCCTTTCAATTATATTTCCATCATGACACAAATACTTTGATCTGGAAGCATTTCACAGTTTCAAAGCACACATTACACCTGCAAACCACCCTCTAAGGCAGGAAGTATTCATTTATAACTGCTCTACCTGCACATCTTCATTTTCCACTGTTCCCTCACAAAAATTCCTGCTCTTAAGCCAGTTTCCTGACTCATCCAAGGAAGACTAAACAACAACTATCATCTCTAGAGCTTCATTCATGAAGCTTCTAGTTCTGAGAAATGCTTCCATTTTATCCTACCCAACCCAAAGTTCTCACTGCAGATTCCAAGAGACAGAGAGGCACTGGATGAAGTAACAGAGCACAGGTCCCGGAGATGACTGACTGGAATCCAAGTCCCAGAGTTCCATAAGGCAGTGCAACCTTGGCAAAATAACTCAATCTCTCTGTGCCTCTACTTCCTCAATATGTAAAAGGGAGATGACCTATTTATCACAGGGAGATCAAATGAGGTAATAATTGCCATTTAAAGGGGTTAAAAAAAGCCAACTGTCTACCCTCCGTTTTATCTACTTTTATCCTATGTTCTCTGTCTTGTCTGAATTCTCACAGAACACTACACCATGATATTTTTGAAACACATATATGCACTTATGACATACAGTCTAACATAATTCACTACTGTTTTTTCCTTTCAAATTTAGTTAGATGGCCACCTTCACACAGGTGGGACTGAGGTCAGGTAAAATGTGGTTCACTAAGTACATAGAATGCATTCACAAAAAGAATACCCGAGGAGATTGAGGCATCATTTCCAAACCAACCATATGGCTGTGAGTCTTGGGGGACCAAAGTGGGTGCTGTGACAGCATAAATCATCTGAGTGACCCTGAAAAACTTCAGGTAATTGGCTGGCATGTCCTAAACATTGTTTGCTAATTAAAGCCTCAACTGGATTTGAAAATTGGGAAGAGCTTGCCTCGACAGCACGTATTCATAACACTAGGCACACACTGACAAACTTCTGAATAGAAGAAAGCTACCTAGTTTATCCTGTTATAAGTTTGCACAGAACATATAAACTCGGAGCTCAGGTGTTCTAATATACAAAAATAAAGTCATGTATTCATAGCTCAGAAAGGATAAGGTCCTCTACCTGCACCATTCCAGACCACCTGGGGAATTAACTGTCTACAGATACCCCAAGTCAACTCGCTGACTTTGGCAGCCAGGAACCACAAACCGTGGGCAGCACACTGGCCTTACCCATTTTCCACTGCTGTGTTATAAGACATGTGCAAGTAGATTTAAACTCAAAAGTTAGGCTGCACTTATATCTGATGAATCATCTGCCTTCTGCTGAAGGAATGGTGTCCCCCAAGGGACACATTTCAGGGACTGACCATATCTTCATTACAGAGAATTTCATAATACGCACTTTGCTGAGGGGGAACTTGACCCACATGTTGCACCCAAGGGGAACCTCTCACTTACTTCCTGAGCCAATAAGACCAAGTCCCACTCACAGCCATGATCTCCTCAACTTGCTCATTTTAATGGACATGTGGAAGTCACTGCAAGGGTAATGTCAATGCAAGGATCCCTTACTTATGAGAACACCTCATGTCATCAATTCTAGGAAGCACATTTCTTCACATTTCCATACCCCTGAAACAGAGATGCCTTATAATCAATTGGGTGTCAATGCTTCATTGGAAGCTGATTTTCCGAGAAATACATAAAATAATGGTACATCTTATAATCATTGGCATCTGACATTCAATGGAAAATAGTGGGCAGATTTAACACAAAATGTGTTAAAATAAACATGTTACTCTATTCTTATTTCTCTCCTACCTGCAGTTGTGAAATTAAATCTGCATCCTAATATAAAATCCCTCACTTCACCACATATTTACTTATGCATCTATTTATTCAAAAATGTTTATGCATCCATTAAATTGTCAAAAAATATATTAATTATTTGTTCCATGCCAGGCAGTAAGCTAGATGCTGTGAAGAGTAAATATGATACATTCACACTTAAGATTCTATCAAATTTTTCAAAATCACATATTTGTGGAAAAAATACATTTGATAAAATAATCAAACTGCAAGACTTAAAAAAAATCCACACTGTCGTGAGAGATGGCTAACAACTGGTTTTTTACAATTGCAAGAAAAAATTTTTTTTAAAAAAAGTGATGTAGGAAACACCTATAGATTAAAAAAAAACTTGAGACATATAAAAAAATCACATGCGGGTCTTATATGGACCTTAATTCAGGTAAACAAATTGTATAAAAGGTATAATAATATTTAAGACAACTGGAAATCTGAACACTGGCTGAATATTTGATGATATCAATTAATTACTATTAATGTTTTCATGTAAAATACTGATACTATGGTATTTTAAAGAGCATTTATCTTTCAAATATACAAAATGAAATATTTGTGGAAGAAATAACAGTGTTTGGAATTTGCTTCCAAATATTGAACTAAAGCATAAGAAATTGTTTTTGTAAGTCAAAATAAGTTGAATATCTATGATTTTATGTTGAAAGTTAGAAGTCATTAGAAAATACTAATGAAACAAAATTGGCAAGAAGCTGATTAATGTTGATATTAGAGTGATCGTCTCTGCAGTGAAGTTTACTCATTTGTCTCCTTTCTATGTGTATAAAATATTTCCACAATAAAAACTTAAGTAAATTAGTTCTTAATATTGTGCTACATTATAAATGAGCCAGTAACTAAAAATATCGAAAATGCAACTGGAAGTACCCCTGCTAAAATACTATGTCTACAATATTTATTTTCCATTGCAGAGGTAAATCTCTCCAAAACTTTAAAAGTTTTTCCAGGTTTTTCAAAGTCTAACTTTGTATCAACATGTTCTGCATCTATGGATTCAACTGCAGACTGAACATACTAGAAAAAGCAATTGTGTCTGCACTGAACACACACAAGCTTTTTTACTTTGTCACTACCCCCTAGACAATAGACAGCTACTTACATAGCCTTTATATTTTGCTAGGTATCATAAGTAATCTAGAGATGATTTAAAGTGAACTGGAGGATATACATTGATTCTATGCAAATACCACACTACTTTATATAAGGCACTTGAGCATCTATGGATTTTAAGCGGGCATCCTAAAGTCAATCCTCCATGGATAACAAGGGATGTGACCCTCTCACAAGCTTCATTATATATCTGAAATAAATTATATTGCACTTTTCTTCTGATGATCTCAATTTACCGGCTTATTTTTAAACATCATGCTGTCTGGACAGTATGGGTCTTTTTTTCAACAGTGCTTCTAGATTACAAATCAGAATAGTTATGACCACACAATCTTGGACATATGCCGGTCAACTTTTGCACCTCGGTTTCTTCCTCTGCAAATGGAAGCCCGTGAACTTGATGGTCTCTCAGGTGGCATATGGGTCTGTGACTGTACCATCTGCTCTTTCTTAGCCACAGAAGCTGTTCCCCAGCTGTGCATGGGATACTTGGCTCTTTTCTCACTGTTTAACAAGGGCCATACGATCCATGCACAAAGATCCTCAAACATATCAGACAGCCTACTGAAAAGCTCATGCACATACACACAACCCCAACCCTTGAAAGTCATGAGAGATAGTTCTACAGTGGAGAAGAAAGCAACCATGAGAACTACACCAACAGAGTGCTTGAGCTCAGCACTGCATCCCCCTCCTAATGGCCTATGATGGAATATATGTAAAATATAGTTAATACATTTTAATAGAAATACATGATATTTAGGATACATTAAAATATCTTTAATAGCCTGAAAATAAATTTCATAATATAAGATGTAAGCTGGCTGCTACAGCGCAGTTGGAACTAACTGGCAGACAACAGTTGTAGTGACCAGATGCAGGCTTTGGACTGTCGAGCACAGTGTCAATTTGTGACTTCATTCATAAATTTCTCAGTGTTATTGGATTAAGTGGGGAATATGTGTACCTGTTTCTGCAGGTGAGTACATGCCAAAGAGGAGACACATAAAGCACCTGAGACTGAACACTCCACAGAGATCATATTATTTGTTTGTTTGAAACAGAACATGAATCATTAATATGGGCCCAATTTTGGCTCTCTCTTTAGACAACCGAAGATTACCTTGATGTGCTTAACTCTGTCTTCTTTTTCTGTCTTTGGTTTCTTTCCTGTGGCAACAAACAATAGTTTGGGATTAATTTGTGGACAGAGAGAGAAACATTTCCCCTACATTGAATTCTAAAACTCTCAGTGAACTTGTTACTTTAATCTACACATGATCAAAATTCCAAATGAATCTTTTATGCCTTTGGTGCCTTGAAAGACATTTTTCCAAGTGAGGTAAGGGCAGAATTATCACCTACGGCATTAACAGGCACTCTGCCCTTGTAGCAACCATGGTTGTAGAAATAAAAGAAATCACAAAGGCACAGTGGTATGTATTGAGCAATTGTTATTTTAGTCAGTAAATATCTATACCTTTCTTAGAAGGTCGTTCAGATAAGGGCAACATCCGGTATACTCTGAAGGCATTGTTTCCTTTCTTTATACTTTTATCCTTAACTTCTTCGATATCAGGCAAAGAATTCATGGCACATCGAAAATTCGCCTTCCATGTTTTGGGATCAGGTTTATCTATTCCTGGCTGATGCTTTCCTAACAAAATAGCCAGAGGCGGGGGGAAAAAAAGGAAAAATTAGACACAGAGTAAAAAAGTTCTGGAAACAAAGTCTTGCTGACCAGGTACTATAGAGAGACCTTTTCATTCGAGCCTTTGCCCACAGTGACCAGCCATTCTGTTTTGTTTGGGACTAAAGGGGAAGGTTCTTAGGATGTTAGAATTTTATTTTTAAAACCTAGACACTTTGGGGCAAACTGAGACAAGCAGGGATGGTTTCTACCAAACTGCTTGAGAGAAAAAAATCAACTGGTAGAATGGAGAATCAATGTGAACTCTACGCAAGGGTAAAAGCCCAACAGGCAGAAATAATTTGTGATTTTCAAACACTGAGTAAAAATTTCATCCCTGTAAATAGCTCCCTACTTGAATTTTGTAATGAATAAATATATGCCTGACTACCTTTAGGGAAAACAAATTCAACCCAAGTTTATAGCTCCAGAACAAATGAATGAGTATTGCCCTGGTAACACTGGGGAATTTATCAGAATACTACATTGGGGGCCATTTTAAGACTGAGGTCCTGGAAGATGGGTGGAACACCACTTCTCTGTGATGTGACCATAAGTCAGGATATATTATATGTGTAATGAAAACAAATGATAGCACCTGACGCTACACAATACAGGGGATTGATTACCTGTGTGGATGGCCCAGTTTCTAAATAGTGGTGCGTCTTTTTCCACATCCCACCCATGTCTAGCCGCATGCATCCAGGGGATCTGGAAAATCTTCTTTTCCTGGAGTTAATGAAGGTAAAAAAGAACTGCAGTCATGGGGTTTGGCTAAACATGACGAAGGGTTCTTAAGTTCTAGCTAATAAGATTTCCCACTAAGTACCACTGAGTTTCTGAGTGTCTATGGTACAATCAACCATAAAGCAAATCCACTTCCCCACAGGGTCCCAAATCTTGACAATCTACCCTGGAGGACAGTGAGACTCTCTTGGAGCCTGGAAGAGTAGGAATGTATTCCAGGGTCAAAGGGAAGATGTGGATGTGCCAAAGAGTCCTACAATTTGTGCCTGTCTTTTTTTTTTTAACAGTACCATAGATAACTGGTCACCGACTGAAACTTCTAATGCATATCCTTACAGTTTCTTCTCATCATTTGGTAAACAGTAACTCCAGCTGCCTTAGGTAAGTTAAAAATAACACACACCCTTTATGCTGCTAAAGGGAAGTTGAGTGTATCTGAGGTCACTGTCACAGAAACCAAGTATCTCCATCTGCTTGTGTGTTTGACAAAAATAGAGAATTTTGTCTCCTGTTCTAATCCCTAGAGGTCTATAGCCCTGCATGAAATAGCAAGAAGTACGAACAAAAATGTAGAGACTCTGAGAGGACACTCATAAAGTTTCTGGTGAAAAGTTCCTGAGTACAATCCTGTCAGATTCTCTCTCTCTTTCTTACAATCAGAGATAACCCCAAACTGTTTAATAAAACAACCCAGGCAAAAACATGATTAGAAACTAAAGCTTCAGAAACAAAGTCATATCCAGCCAGAAAGACAAAGGTCCCCGCAGCACTGTACATTTGTCTACCCATGTCCACAAGGGGCTCAGTTTTATATCTCACAGTTACTAGCTACCAAACTAAGTATATAATTTTCATTTTTCAGTTGAGAAAACTGAGAAACAGAACCAAAATATTAAATCAAGGAACTTATGACTAAAAATGTCTATGTTCCAAACCAAGGTCAAGTGATTCCATATTCACACTACATATTATCTCCTGGCGTTAGAGGATTCCCTGTCCTGTGATAGACCTGGACTCTGTGAAAAGTAGGGCCCAGGAACTGCACTTTTTAAAGAGCTCTCAGGCAGTCCTGATTACTGCTAAGTTCAGGGTGCATGCACTGGGAAGGAAAGGGAACATCAGGAGGGATTTTCCACCACTTTGGTCTTACATGGTGAAATCCAGAAAGCGTCCCAGCGATCCCTACAGGGACTCAGAACCTCTTCACTAAGCTGAAAATATTTCAGAATGTTGAAGAGTTTCCCAAAAACTGTTACAAGGGAAAATTCTACCATATTTTTAAAAGTTGTTAATAAAGAAGAACTGAAAGTGAGAGACCTTTTCATAAACTCTTCATTATTCATTCTGTGTCATTTGTAGCCATTGCAGAGTCTCATCTCAGGTAGGCCAAAGTGCAAAGAAAAGGGTTTTTTTGTTGTTGTTGTTACTGTACATGAAAAATCTGAAAACAAAATCCTTCAATGCAGCTTTTTTTTTATGTTCACATGAACATGAATATAAATGAAAAAGAACTGATTTCCAATGAAATAATTTTCCTGAAATGCACACACACACAATCTAAAACTTTCTGCTGAAAGACACAGATCCTGAAAAGTTTGCTGTTGTACTTTTTTTGGTAGACCAAGAGAGTTCTGGAACAACACCATGTAAAGTCTACCTTGCAAGGCACAAAGCTGATAAAGGTAAGGCAGATCCTTAAAAGCATTTGTGCACATGCACACACACACACACACACACACACAATCAAATCTAGTCTCACAGAAACCATGTAAAAATCATGAAATTAAATAAAAGGGGTAGGAGGGGAAGGGAGGGGGCATGGGGTTAGAAATGATGGTGGAAGGGGATGGCCATCATTATCCAAAGTACATGTATGAAGACATGAATGGTGTGAATATACTTTGTATACAACCAGAGATATGAAAAATTGTGTTCTATATGTGTAATATGAATTGTAATGCATTCTGCTGTCATAGGTAATAAATTAGAATAAAAAAATTAAAGAAAAAAAACAGCTACCAAACCCTGCAATATCCACCAAGGAGGGGCAGGAGGTGTGGCTCAGTGGTACAGCACTTGCCTAGCATGCATGCAGCACTGAGTTCCATCCCCAGCACTGCGAATAAATAAATAGATAGATAGATAGATAATCCACAATGGCTCTTCTTGAAATTGGCAAAAGACCCAAATATACCTCTCTCAATAAACAAATAAACAGCACATGAAAAGATGCTGAACCTCATTAAGTCATTAAGGAACTGCAAATCAAAGCAACAAATACCTCACACCTACCAGAATGGCTGGAATTTTAAAAATTTACAATGACAAAAAGCAAAAAAAGAAAATAAAAAGTGTTGATGAGGATGCAGAGAAACTAGAACTCTTCTATGCTGCTGGAAGGAATATAAAATAGTGCAGCCACTTTGAAAAAACAGCTTAGCCATTCCTCAAAAAGGTAAAACACAATTACCAGTTGATCTAGTAATTCTACCCCTGGTTACATAGCCTAAGACTGCAACAGGTGTCCAAACAAAAACTGATATATAAATGTGCATGGTAGCTCTACTCACAAAAGCCTCAAGATGCAAACAACTCACCTTTCCATCAGCTGATGAATGTATATACAAAATATTGCACATTTAGCCACAAAAAAGAATTAAAAATGCTACCACCCAGGATGAACTTTTTTTTTTTTTGGTGCCGCAGATTAAACTCAGTGGCACTCACCACTGAGCCACATCCCCAGCTCTATTATGTATTTTATTTAGAGACAGGGTCTCTCTGAGTTGTTTAGCACCTTACTTTTGCTGAGGCTGGCTTTCTGCCTCAGCCTCCTGTGCCCCTGGGATTACAGGCGTGTGCCACCATGCCCAGCTGAGGATGAACTTTTAAAAGTTGTGCTAAAAGAAGCCGGATCCAAAGGACAAATATTGAATGATTCCATTTATATGAAATATCCAGAGAAGGCAAAGTTTTATAGACAGAAAAGTAGCTTAGTGGTTGCCCTGGGCTAAGAGAGGAAGAAATGGCCTCTGACGGCTTATAGGGTACAGTGTTTCCTTTTGACAGGATAAAAAAGTTCTGGAACTACATGAGGATGGTTTGCACAAGAGCATGAATGGACTTATTCTCACTGAACTGCACACTTAAAATAGTTAAAATGGTAGATTTAAAAAAAAAAAAAAACTTCCATGTAACTTTTGACTAGTTACATGGGTTTTTTAAAAAAATTATTGCAAAAAAAAAATAAAAAAGAAACTACTAAAATAAGCATATCACAGATACCGTTTTTAAAAAGACCATGTTGAAAGGTAAAAGGTGAGATTCATTTTTAAATCAAAAGAGATTCTACTGAGTGAATGTTCGAGTCATAGATCCCTGTGTTCTGAGGGACAGTGACAGTGCTGCTATGTGTCTTTGTAGACTCCGTGACCAGCCCATCAGAGGGCAGAAGACACGAGCACTGCCTGAGCTCTGAAAAGCATCTGTGATTCTCTTGCACAGTGCAGAACACACACTTTGGCTCCTGCAAAAACTAGTCCAGTTATCTCTCTCTTCTTTCTTCCAATATTTTTAAGATATTCTGATCAGTTTGCTTTTTTGTTTTGTTTTGGACTTCTTACTTGGGGCAGAGACAGCCTGATGTTGACACAAACACAAGCCTGTTTTCAAGTAAAGAAAAGGAAAAGACTGGCAGTGCCGAATGGTCTCTGTGCCTGGGCAGTGGCCTCAGTGCCTGCATCCCAGGGGATCTCCCACATGCACTAAGAACATCAATAACCAGGATGGGAAACAATGAGCCTGGCAGTGTCTGCCTCCTTCTTCCTAAATAAACGGCCCAGAGACACCACGAATTTGGACAATTCCAGAACTACCCTAGACCCTTTCAACAGTCAAGGGCAAGAAGGAAAACAAAAAGAACACAGGATGCTGTTCACGATCAGAAGAGGCTTCGAGTCATAAAACCAAACACAACCTGTGAGCTTTCTTTTAAGAGTCTGATTGAATGAATCAGGTGAATCAGCTGTAAAAAGATATTCTGGGAAAACTAAAGTCATTTGAATATGAATGGGATAATGATGACATTGAAAATTATTAACTTTACCTAATTGATAACAGCATTGCTGATATGTCCTTAAATCTTATAAACATACATTGTCAGAGAGTGGCTTTATAATACCACACACACACACACACATGCATGCACATGCATGTACACACAAAAATACAACAAAAATTAATAGATCTAAGATGTGGGCATATGGGAATTTGCTATTCTATTCATCCTAATCATTAGACTATCCAAACCTACTCATAATAAAAAGAAGTTGTTCAAGCCCCAGCCCCATTCATAAGCCACATATAATACTGCTTTGACAAACTTCCTGTTCCTTTGAAGGAATGCAAATGACCTAATCCATTTCTTCCCTCCTTCAAATTTATTAGGAGGAGGAAATGGAAACAAATTTAGCCAGTAATTAATCACCTGTTTGTTTTTTACTAAGAATGTACTGAGTTGGAAAGGCTTCACTGAAGAGAGAGATGTGGCAATGGCCAATCCACTATTGATAACTCTGATAATCCTGTGACAATGGCTAACTCACTATTGATAAGTCTGATAATCCTAACAGAACAAAAACACAGCCACCAACGTTGCTCCTCCTCGAGAACACAACCTGCATCCATGCATTCGCAGAACAATGCTTATGGAGTGCCTCCTGCTCAGCAGGCGGGAGGCCTGGACAGCTGTGACAAGATCGCCATGCACTGTTTGTGGGGTTTCTGAGCCTGGAGATTGCACCATAAATAGGACACATTCTGAATTCAACGGCTATGATTTGGATGTGGTTAGAGAGCATCCTCCAAAGTTTCCTTGGTCCCGAGTGTGGAGGTATTGAGGTGGTAGAACCTTTAAGAGATGGAGTCTAATAGTGGATAATTAGTTAAAGAGGACTACTGAATGCACCACTGCTGTCTCACAGGAGAGGATCAGATCTGGTAAGAGTGGAATAGTTCCCTTAAGAGTGGCAATTGTAAGAGCAAGTCAGGGTCCTTCTAGATGCCTTTCTTTCTTGTTTACACACTTGGCCCCTTCTACTTCTTTGCCATGTTGTAAAGCAGTTAAGGAAGCCCTCGCCAGGACATGGGCACCCTGCTGTTTGGACATTCTAGCTATAATACTGTAAGCCAAATAAACTTGATAAGTTACCGAAGCTCAGGTATTTTGTTACAGCAACACAAAGTGGACTGCAACACTAACTAAGGCATAAGTAAATCAAAGACCCAGGGGCAGACTCTGCTTTCTTAGTCCCTGCAGTCTTAGTGAGAAAGAGATTAAACTACTCAAACTAAAAACAGGGATTCTTGGGCAGGGATGCTTGTGAATGGAAAGGAAATATTAGGCTCTGGATGAAATATTTATGTGGACAGATGAATCCCAACAAGTCTAAATCAACAAGAAACCTAAAAAAAGATCAGCATACTACAGTGATGCAGCCTCATTAATGTAATTAATGTTTATAGCAGCTCACCTCACAACAGCTAAACTATGAACCAACATAAGTGCCCTTCAAAAGATGAATGGATAAAGATAATGTGGTGTATTGCACAATGGAGTATTATTCAGCTTTAAAGAAGAATGAAATTATGGCATTTGCCAGTAAATGGATGGAGCTGGAGAATATGCTAGGCAGAATAAGCCAGTCCCCAAAACAAAGGCCAAATGTTTTCTCTGATATGCAGATGCTAATTCACAATAAGGGTGGAGAGTTGGGAAGAACAGAGGTACTTTGGATTGGGTAGAGGAAAGTGCAGGGAGAGAAGGGGTATAGGAGTAGGAAGGATAGTAGAATGAATCTGACATTATTACACTATGTACATATATGATTACACAACTGGTGTGATTCTACATCATGTACAACCAGAAGAAAGAGAAATTATACTCCATTTGTGTATGATGTGTCAAAGTGCATTCTACTGTCATGTGTACTTAATTAGAACAAATTTTAAAAATAATTTTTTTTAAATGCCCATGGGAATGTAGCTTTGGAGAGATGATACCCTGACCCCATCCAAGGTCTGCAGTGACCATGATGGCACTGCCTGTGGGCACAAACACAGCCACATGCCTGCTGTGGCTAGGTCCCAGTGGGACCCCTACCTGACAGGGAACACCAGGCCATACTGTGCCAGCACTGTCCTGAGGGGCAGCAGTGGTCAGCAGCCCTTCCACCAGCTGGGCTCATGTACAGCTCTAGCAGAAGAGCCCACAAGATGCTAAAGAAGTCCCCTTCCCTACTCCTACTTAGAAAGAGAACTCTCACGCCAAGAGCAAATGAATGAAGACCAGCAGAGAAGGACCATCTGTGAGGGACTAAGTGTTCAGTTATGCAAAAAGATATCCATTTGCCTTTTGGTTCTAGATCAGAAAAACATGGACAGAGTGGATGGAAAAAGAGAGGCCTCCATGGACAGTCCTGCAGAGGACGATCCTTGGAGGGTGCCTTGATTTCCTAAGGCTATAACAAAAGACTACAACCAGGACAGCTTATAGTAACAGAAACTTATTCTATCCCAGACTGGGAAGCCAGAAATCTGAAATTAAGGTGTCAGCAGGCCTGCATTCCTTTCAAAAACTCTAGGGAAGAATCCTTGCCTCCTCCAGGTTGTGGTGGCTCCAGGAGTTCTTTGGCTTGTGGCTGTGTCACAACAGTCTCAGTGTTTTCACATGGGTTCTCCTGTGTGTGTGTGTGTGTGTGTGTGTATGCGTGTGTGTGCATGAGTGCGTCTTATAAAGACAACTGTCTCAACTTGAAGTCTTTCGCTGCATCTGCAAACACCCTTTTTCCAAATAAGGCTGCAGGTTCTGGAGGTTAGAATGGGGACATACCCTGGGGGTGGGGGCATCATTCAACTTCCTATAGAGCACGACCAACTACAGCCTATCAGGTGCCTACTTGACACAGGAGGCCTGATGGCATTGCATGTTCTCCACATACAGAGGCACGTTTTAGAATAAGAAAAAAGAGAAAACAGACAACTTTCTTCAAATTCAGGAACATCTACTTCAATCTTACACTAAATCAAGACAGAAAATGTTTTCTTGTTATTCAAAATAGAATCCTACTTACCCTCCCCATGCCTTCCACAGTGGGGATCATGTGAATTAACACATAGGCCCTGCTTAGAAGAGTACCTGGGAATGGGGCACTTAACAAATGTTAGCTTTTGCTCTTTTTATTTGTTACCCTATATGTCTCCAACTCCCTTTCCTTCTACCTTCATATACCGCTGCTAACTGAGCTGTAGAAGAAACAACCTGGTTTCTTATTTGTTTCTTTGGAAAAGGATAATTATGTATCTAAATCTAAAAACACAATAGATAGAACAAGCATAGAAAAATATATTGTCTGAGGCCTCAAGGTGCCACAATAGAACGCACAAAACGAGCACCTTGTTTCAGAAAGGACTCACTTGCCGTATTCAAATACAGGAACATTGAGTTCAAAATAAATGGACAAGGGAAAAAGAACAAAAAGAAATAAGATTTGAGATATCTAAAAAGATAAAATAAATCCAGGAGTGATATTAAAGAAAAATTGCTGCAGCACCTTCTTCCCTTGTTAGAAGCAGGACACAATCTGCAATCTGGCTCTAAGCTCTTGCACCTGGAACAAAGATAAAGCCTGACCAGCTAAATTATTCATCATGTCCTTAAGATTAAAAAAGAAAAGGGTTGGGGGATGGTGACTAGGAAAAAGACATTTGCTCAGAAGAATTGCAATTGTTCCTGGTAGCAGGAGAGAAACTTCTCCCTTGGGCCTCCTTAAAACAGGCATGACATATTACATTGAGTCACTTTTCTAAATTATAACTACATATTTTTAGATGTTTGTTATTTTTGCATGCATTATCTCTTCATGATGCACCCTCAATAGCTAAGATTGATTAGACTGATAGTTCTGAGGTTAACAAAATAAAGGAGTATTTGTGTGTACATGTGTGCGTTGAGGGAGTTGTAAATGATAAGCAACTTCTTTTTTTAAGACAAGTGGGAATACCAACAAGGTTTCATGTAAAGATAAAAATGAGTATTTTTAAAAGACAAAAATGAAAGTTCTTTACATTGAGAGCATTTGGGAAAAAAATCAGTATGCTCCATTCCCAATATAAAATGGCAGCGTTTCCATGTCCTTTTATCCTAGAAAGATAGGAGAAGCAAGAAAGAACTCTAGAGACTAAAGAAAAGGGCAAGGGCACTGTTATGAGTTAGATATGAGTCTCCCTCAAAAGCTCATGTGTGAGACTATGCGTGAAAGTTCAGTATCAAGGGGCGGCCCGCACCCTACCAGGGCAGTTTCCTGCTTAGATGGTGATGAGCCAACTGGAGGAAGTTTGAAATATTTAATAAAGAAATAAGAGACAGAGCCAGAAATTAGGTTCAAAAAAGAGGAGCTCCTAATAGGTCCTCTAGTCCACATAGGAGTTAGAACCAAACAACTAGAAAATGGCTCCAGTCCTTTATTTAAGGGAGAGTACATCAAAGTCAGGGATAAGGTTTCAGCAGGTGGAATCTTGCTTCATGGTGTCTTGCAGTCAACAGGTTGATTGGCATTTTGGCAAGCCACACTCATCTCTGAGAGGCTGTGTGGCTATGTGGCTCCAGTGCACTGAGGACTCTGACAGAGCTAGGCAGGATATCACATGTGGTGGTCTCAAACCAGCAGGACTGCCACTGGGAGTTCCCAGATACCAGACTTTCCTACCCAATGGCTTCCATGCCCATTTGGTTCATGCACAGTTCATGGATGGCTCCCAGCAGTTCAGAGGTGAAATGAGAGCCTTAACCTCATCAGTGAATTAGTCCACTGATATGGATTGACTTGGTGGTGGTTATAGGCAGGTAGGCTGCCTTCTACACAGGAAATGTTCAGTGTAAGGACTGGACCAATTCAGAGGAAGCAAATAAGAGATGGCTGGAGAAGGTAGGCCACTGGGGGCATGTCTTTAGGTTTATCTTATGTCCCCGGTAAGCAGAGGTTTCTGTCCCTCTCTCACACTCTACTTCCTGTTTTCCTGGTCCCAAGCAGCCTTCCTCTGCCCTTCCGCCATGATGCTCTGCCTCAATCTCAGACCAAAACAATGAAGTCTGCCATCTATGGACTGAGACTTCTGAAACCATGAGCCCCCAAATAAACTTTTCCTCCTCTGCATTGTTCTTATCAGAACTTCTGGTCACAGTGATGGAAAAAGCTGACTAAACAGTCACTAAAGAAAACCATAGCAGAGAGCTTCCCAAAAAGGTATCCAGAATCCCAAGGTGAGCTGCGACTGGGAACTCAGGATTGAGGTAACTTTCTGAGCTAATGATAAAAACTTTTTTGATATGATAACTTGATGTTCTATGACCATAGTTTGTTGATTGGTTTTTGTAATGAATTGAGTCTGAGATTTTGAACACAAATAACAATTTTTACTTTTGGTGGTCCATGGGGGCATGTTCTCAGCCAGGACCTCTCAATCTCAATCTCTCACATGCACATGCATATGCACACACTTACCTTATTAAGCCACTTTAGCCCTGGTATTGTGTTTGAATTTATCTGTTCTTCCAGCCATGGGCGCATCCGCATCCTTTCCACTGGCATGGTACCCTTCTGCAAAAGCAAAAGAAAGATAACATTAGGTATTTCTGTTACTGTCTTGTCTGTATCATCCCTGCTTTTTTTCCCCTTCCTCAGGGTTGGGGCTCTAGGTGAGTGTATTCAGGGGTATTGCCCTCTGGCCACCTGCTCCTACTTATCTATCCTGTTCATCCTATCTTGGTTGGGGTGGTGGAATGGCCCAGTTCCTGCCATTCTCTGAGCTGGCTTTTAGTTGAAGGGACCTATGGACATGGTAGACCTGGTCTTGCAGACACCCAGCTAGCCAGGAGATTCAGACCCCCCTCAGTGACTGCTTCATGTTATTTTGCCCCCTCCCATTCTGGCTATGTTTATAGCAGAAATCTTCAACATACCAGGCATTCAGAGGACCAGTATTTTACAATACTTTTAAAGTATTATTCTTCCAAAATCCAAGGATGCCGGAACAAAATATTTGTTATAAAGAGTTATGATAACCAGTTGGTTCCTTTTGGGGATATGGGCTATAGAAATGCCTTGAATCCCCAATACTGGAACTTGAGAGTTCTAAAGGAATCAATTAATTTGGTTACCCCCAAGGTTTTTCACTACCAGCCATTTCCTCCTGACTATATCTGTTTTCAGAGATCACCAGCATTTATCCTTGCTTCAACTCTGCTCTTACTCTGATTAATCTCTTATTTGCTTCCTCAAGCATTTGTCCTCAGTACAGTCCTCTCCTCTGACCTGAAAGCATCCCCTTTTCCTTCAACTTAACTTTCCTTTCGCAAATCACTCCCTGGTCTGAACATCTTTCCTCATCAGCCCACACAATGCCTCTCCCCACTCCTTCCAAATTCCTTTCTAAAACTTTCCCTCATCCATCAAAATATAGCTGAGTGGAATCACTAATAAAGCATCTTCCACACAGTCTACTCTTCTTCACCCTATTTATGTCTAAATTTATATTTAATCTAGGATCTGAAAGCAAAGTTGATGCTAATTCAAGTCTCCTCACTATAGGACATTGTGAACAATGTGACATTATAATCCTCTTTTCAACTCCCCCCCCCCCTTTTTTTTGGTGGTGGTGCTGGGGATTGAACCCAGGGCCTTGTGCATGCAAGGCAAGCACTCTACCAACTGAGCTATACCCCAGCCCTCTTTTCAACCCTTAACTGTCTCTTGTTTGTGGAACTCATTTCTCCTTAAAATAAGTTCTTAAAATTATATCCAGTTGAACGTGGAATGAGGTGATCAATATCTCTTTTCCAGCTTGCCCTACCCCAACTAGTGCCAGAGTGCAAGCGTCATGACGTGCACCATGAAGGGCCTCACCTGTACTAGTAGAGGCTACCTGCCTTTTCCTTGTACCCCTCTCATATTTCTAATCCATTCATGTTGCAGACACCTTCTGCTCCTTGCTCATACCAAGCACTCTGCTCTTCTTTCCCTGGCCTTGCCAATCCTCAGGGAGAGTCCACTCTCCTTCTCCACAAGGCCTTTCCAGACCACTCCAGCCCAAAGGAATCCTCCTCCTCCTCCAACTCCCACAATACACACAGATCTTGCACCACTCATTTGAAAATCAAACATTGCTTTAGGGTAGCTGTTGTAAGTCAAGTCTTTAATCTTATCTCTTACCTGACCTATAAACTTTTCAGCTGTGTGTACCCTCTCTACCTAAGCAAATTGTAAACTCTTTGGGAATAGGAGTTCACTTCTTATATATTCATTTTATAACCCTACAAAGCCTAAATGCTGCCTTCTACACAGGAAATGTTCAGTATAAGGACTGGACCAATTCTGAAGTTCAGCCCCGTCAGGGCTGCCATTGATGGTGGGTCCCATCCCCTCAACATCTGCAGGATCCAAGTCTCCATTCTTGGAAACAGTAACAGGAACCTTTGAAACATTATAAAAGACATGAAATGGCTACAGGGAGTTCCCAGTATAGCTGCTCTTCATGGATTCCAAGTTATTCCATTCATTCATATACTCATTCAAAGATCACAGATTGAGAATGAAGTTCCAGGAACTAGAAAAGATAAGACAATTCCCGCCATCTTGAAACTCAGTCTAACAGGTGATAGGAAAGAAGGGAATTACCAACATGAAGAGTCTTACACACAAGATGGTAAGGAGTTACAGAAGAGCTCTGAGAGTGTTGGGCAAAGCTATACATAGAAGATTATACCAAGGGACAGTGGTCTGAGTGGACCTAGGGCTCTGTCCCATGAATTGGTGTCCACTAAACCAGTCAGATCCTTCCTTAGGAGAAGATCTTAAGACACAGAGTGGGGGAAGAAGGAAGAGCAGGAGTGGGGGGCAGCTACAGTAGTCCTACGAGACAGCAACAGCCTCCAGTTCTTCTGAGGGGCCAACATAACATGCATAAGTGGTGCCATTGTGCCTACCCTCAGTAATGTGGAAATACAAGAGGCATACGCAAATAGCCCTGATTCCAGTTCATAGTCATAATAATATTATATTTCTTCCCTTCTCTCTCTTTTTTTTAAACAAATAACCCATGTTGAAAAAAAAATGATCATCTGAGATATTTCAAAAAGGCTTCTGTCACTAAAACTACAGCCTGTGAGGGAAGATACAGATATCTACATTATTTCCAAATTCTGTAAATGTGAATTTGCCTACTTACTAAAATTTATTGGTTACCAATAAATCAATACTTATGGTGTTTTGTGGCTGTTGCATACACATGCAAAGTGGGCGGGGATGGACACAATTCACCTGGTATGCACAGTCCCAGCTGATTTTGAACAAGGCACATTTTACCTTCCTGTTTCTGCTCTCCTACTGGAAACAAATGTCCTTTTCACGGTCTATTTAGTGTGACATTTTCCACACTCTTGTGTTTTTTGTTGGTCATTTTGCCATTTAAAATGGCCTCTAAGAGTGGTACTGAAGTACTGTGTATTGCTCCTAAGCAAAACAAGGCTGTCATGTTCCTTCTGGAGAAAATACATGTAATGAGATGAGCTTCACTTGGGCATGAGTTATAGTGCTACATACAGTGGCTGTGAATTCAATATTAATCAACCAACAATGTGCATTAACTAAGTTGTGTTTAAACAGAAAATACATAAAACAAGGTTATATCCTGACTGGCTGATGAAAATGTTGTGACCAGAGGATAACAGTGTCCTGATGTCCTTATAAGAAAAGGGTATTGAAGACACTGACATACAAAGAATGTCATGTGAAGACACAGAGGGCAGATAGCTATGTAAAGGAAGAAGCAGAGATTGGAGCGACTCCATGACCAGCCAAGGAATACCTGGAGCTTCTACAAGCTGAAGAAAGAAGGACGGATCCTCCCCAAGCCTTCAGGGGTAACAAGGCCCTGTTGACACCTTGATTTTAGACTTTTAGCCTCCAGAACTCTGACAGTGTAGTTTTCTGTTGTCTCTAAGACACCAACATAGGCAAAGATAATGCAAAGGCCTTCAGGTAGGTGTCCAGCAACAGGGCAGATGCTTGAGACACGACTGACCTTCCAAGTCCTGGAAAAACAAAACCTAGGACTTTGTTCAACATCCCAGAACTGAAGAAGAAACTTAAGGATTTAAGGAAATGAAAGTTATGGTCAGTCTTGTTAGTGGTAAAGGTAAGATCTGATTATGAAATCTAGACCAGCACTTCATAAACTTTAATACAGGTAGGAATCTCAATTCGGTATTCTAGGTGACCTGTGATTCTACACTTCTAACAAGCTCCCAGGTCCCTGGACCACACTCTAGAATCTCTTTAATATTTACACATGAATTTCTTGAATATTTTGTGACTTCCTACCAAGTCGTCATTCTGGCTGACAGATCTTCTCCATTGGTCTGTCATATTTTACTGCACCATATATATGTTGGGCCATCACTATTTATATGGCATGCCTTTCTAACAGCCAGCCAAAACTCAAAATAAATCTCTTCCTTAGCCAAAATACTATAAAGCTGTGGTTTGTTCCCCAAAGGCTCATATGCTGGAAGCTTGGTCCTCAGTGTGGTGGTATTGAGGTGGCATACCCTTTAAGAAAGGACCTGCTATAAGGGAATTAGGCCAAGTAACTCCATCCTCATGAATGGATTCATGCTCTGGGAGTGGGTGGAGTCCTATAGGATTAGATTAGTTCCTGTTGGAATGGATTGTTAAAGTGAGCCTGGCAGCTCCCCTGAATTCCTCTTCTAAACACACTCCTGCTTTATTGTGCTGTCATCAGACCTGGTGTCATCAACAGAGTCAACCAGATGCTGGAGCTATACCCCTGAACCTTCAGAACTGTGAGCTAAATAAACCCCTTTTCTTCACGAAGTCCCAACCTCAGTATTTTGTGATAGCCACAGAAAATGGACTAAGACATATGGAAATCAAACATGTCCAGAAATTATTAATAGTTTTAATAAAATTTATTTTTATGTATATCGTTTCACATTTTACCCAAAATGTATATTGAAGTATACACTAGACTTGAAGGAGAAAGTATCTGGGGTTTATTCTTCTCTTTTTCTTGAAGAGTCATTTAACCCTACATCCTGACAGATATGCCCTATGTGCTAACAGCTACAACAGAAACACTGATGAAACTGTTCAGCAGTTTCAACATAGGTGATTGTGAAATCATCTATGAAAAATGTTAAAATTCTCCAATTGCACAATGTATATGAAGATCACATTTTTGTTAATCATCATCGTCATGGTTGTTAACACACAGAGAGCCAAATAAAGTCCCCTCCACCTCCAGCCCTACCAGAGGGTCAACCTTATAAGAAGTCACAGTGTGCACACTTTACTGTGACCCCTGAATATAAACAATGTCCTAAGTCCCCAGGAAAAAAATGGACAATCCCATCCCCACCAAAAAGAGTGCTCAAGGCCAATGCCTAAGCAAGAGGGATTGGTGGTTGACCCAAATTTTAAAACTTTTAAATCATGACTGCTATTAATTTTAAGAGGGCTTTTTTTAAGAAAAGTAAACAGAGTGGGTATTTAATCAAAGTAGGGGAAATCCTTAGAAAGAA